TCCAGGCTTGTACCTACAAGATATCTACTTCCTTATCTCAATATAACCATTGTACGGAAGATTCCTACAGTTTGCCTTTGCAGGGGACTATTATCAGTGCAGACTGCTCCAGCCAAGATATTCTCCAGTGTTCTCTCCATCATAATGGTGCACTAACCATGGTGCAGTGACTGTATCCGTGGGATGATGAAAAAGCCTGCCCCAGTTCTTTCTCTTCTTTGTTTCTTCATCCCTGGAAATTGTGCAAGTACATGCAACATGGGATGGGGCACTGGGTCCAGGGAAGTGGGGATATTATTGAAGGAAGCTCATCCTTACTCTTTTTCCCCTAAAACACCATATCACAGCTGTTCAGACAACTCCAAGGTATACAATATGCAGTATTGCAATGTTCAGTGATTTTGGCAGGTTGTCAAAATTGTTCTGAGAAACACAAGTGAGGAAATAGAGATTTGTAACAGTTCAAAACTCAGCTAAATTGGATTGGATTTTGATGGGACAAAGAAAAGGCACTCCAATAACCCTAGGTGGTTCTCTCTACTGAATATCAATGACCATCTCCAAGCAATGGAGTTGCTAACATTTCTCAAATGAATAAGTCTCTGTAATACTTTTTAATGGAAAATGTTAAACAGCCTAAAATATAATTGTTGCTGACAGCTATCGCTATAATCAACCAGACTTAACCCAAAATCACTTTTCTAGATTGTTTTGGGAAAGCAATAAATCCCAGTGGCCACTGACAACCTGCAGTAAGGAAAAATCTATTTTCAACCCCCATAGGTAATCCATTGATTGGCTCTCAAAGCCTGGCCAGTTTTTTTCCCAAAACCACCAATGAGCAATGGAGCAGATGATATCCAATGACATACATTAGGAAGAGAGCTGGGAATTCGTGATGATGTTGGGCCTGTTTCCAAACTAAATTTGTCCAGAGTGAAATTCTGTCAACACCTAAGGTTAACAACAAAACTCCCAATTACTTCAGGGGGACAAGATTGCACCTTTTCCCTTCTCTTTCCTTCCCTTGTATGACCCAGACCCCAACATCTGTCCAATGGAGGGGAATGGGCATGCTCAAAATACTCCACCTTGAACTTCTGGAGGGAAAAGAGCGTAGTTTGCATGGTGGCAGAAATCTCCATGCCTCAGAAGTCTTTTATCCCAGTGCCAGAAAACAAGGTCTGAATTTTATTCAGAATATATGAACAACTGAAAGGGGCTTTTAATGAAATACATTTTGTAGCTCTGCAGACAGAAAACCTTTAAATAAAATAGCAGTAATACATAGCACAGAACAAAATATAAATGAACATACTCTATACAGATATGAACTATATTTAATTATATTGTGTTACCACATACATTTTCGGATAATAAAGATCACCTTAACATAAAATGAAGTATCTGAGATAAACCTAGGAAAAGCTCTGAATTCCAGTTAAGAATTAAAAATCCCCAAAATAGGCACAACAGGTCATAGCGGGATAACATAATAGGGCACCCTATAGTGCTCAACTATTACAGGTTTAATCCTTGACTGTGAATTTTCTTGCTTTTGTATATTTGTCTCAGATGCTTAAAATAATGTTGTCATGGAATTTTGGATTAATGTTTTTACATAATTTACTGTAACTACATCATATTTCTGGCTTCTGCTTTCTTTTTAATCCATCAACTGTTTCTGATTTCAACATCCATCGGTAAACCATTCCTCAATGGTCTTCAAATCAAATTAAAGTATAAATGTTAAAAAAATGATAGGCTGGGGCTTTTAGAAAGCAGAGCTAATAAGATCTAAAGTTCACAGGGTCAATAGGATGGAAAGTGGCATAGTTTGTAAAACTTGCCACTTTAAGTATTATAGAATGCTTTTTCAATTGTGAACCGAGATAGGAATTTTCTTTAATTAAAACATGTAATGTGAATCTACTGGGTACTTATTTCATATATGAAGTTCACCAAGTGAAGCAATCCAAGGTGCATTGGACACATCAAAATTAAAGTTGCCCTCCCAAACTTAACTATGTTTCTTTCTGCATTCTAATTCAGTGTGGAGTTATGACAATGCTTAGCAAATGTGTAGCAATGATTAATATTTCTTATCCTCTCTTTAATATGATAGAGTCAATTTTGCAGTGGTCTAGACTTTTTGGTCAAGATGTAATCAAGATCCTGACTCTAGAGAAAACACAAAAATCATGATAAGTAAACCATGGGGCTGCACCACCTGCTCAGTATGCTTACTACCACCACCACCACCCCCTGAGATAGGCAGCCCCGGATCTCCCCCCAGCTACTGGGGAGGGCAGGCCAAGGCATGACAGCCCTGGCCTGCCCTCTTCCCTTCCCCTCCCCCGAGGCTGGCCCCGCCCCAGCTCTCCCCTCCCC